TCCAAATGACTCACTCATATAATTGAGGGTTAATAAAAGGAGATCAGATGATCAGTCGGGAGGATGATATTTTTGAAAGAAATATTTCAGACAAAAGTTGTAAGGTATAAAAAGATCTGTTTATAGATCTTATCCAGTTTGACCTTAGGTGGCGTCGCCAGATTAAGATCAAATCGATTTTTTTAAATAGGATACCCTATTTTTTATGTCAGAATCTAATAGTTGGTGTTAAAAGCTTTTCAAAATACTATAATAAAGTTATTTTTCGTTAAGTACTTTTCGAGTTATAAGGCTTGAAAGTTAACCGCCGGCATTAACATTACGCAAAGTGTCCGACCGACGCCTAAAACCTTTTGAATGCTGTTCAGGATTATGTCCTGGATAACATTTGTTAAGATCAAGACCATTGGAGATTATTCCTCTTATTTTCATTTTTGCACTAAAAATTCATTTTTATGTAAAAATAAAAAAAATAATCCAATGATCTTGATCTTAGCAAATGTTATTAAGATCATGACGTTGAACAACATTCAAGAGGTTTTAGCAGTCGTTTAGACATTTTGAGTAATGTTAATGCTAGGGATACTATAACTTTCAAGTTTTATAATTCGAAAAGTATTTTATAAAAAAGCATTTTATTATAATATTTTGAAAAACTTTCAAGATGTGCTACAAGAATATGTAATGAAAAGTGAGGAGTCCCATTAAAAGAATTCAAACTAATCTTGTCTTGACTTAACACTGCCATCCAAGGTCAACTTAATAAGGGTGAAATCACACGATGCGGAATAGGACTGCGAAATAGAAAATGCGTCATTGAAGCAATCAGTGCTATTCATTCATATTCCGTACTTTTTCATTACACAAGTTTTGTGTGCTATATTCACATGATGCAGGATGAATTTGAACACTACTAACTTTATGTTAATAATTTGCTTATTAAAAAGAAATATAATTTATCAAATAAAAACAATTCACTGTTGTAGTATTTAATATTTTACAATTAATATTTACAATCTCATAACAACTTTTTTGAACTGTTTTAACGCATTTACTAACATTTTTCCGTACCATGTGAAAACAGTGCTGAAATCGCACGAAATGCGTCATTGTTTTTTGATCTTGATATCTATATTTACGCACTTTGATTTTGTCATTTTGCTTTATTCGTCTCAACATTACGCGATTCCACCATATCAATAAGTAATATCAATTATCAATATCAATTAAATTATTTTAACCTTTCAAAATACGATGGTTTATTACAAGAACACGATTTAGGTACTTTACGATTTAGAACACAATGACGCACTCTCTATTCCGCAACATCAAATGCGAAATAGCGCTAATTGGTTGCTTCAATGACGTATTCTCTATTCCACAATCCTATTCCGCATCATGATTTCATTCTAATTTCACCTCAAGTCCTCCTCAAAGTGACAAAATTTTTGTCTGAACATATTTTTCATTTAACACTTTCAAAGATAATAACTTGTAACACTTTACGTGGACCACTCTACATATATACAAGTCTTATTTTAACTTCGACACCGAAATATCTTGAAAATTATAAGATACGGAATAATGTTTCAGACGAAAGTTGTAGTGTTTAAAAAGATCTATTTACTGACCATATCAGTTTGACGTTGAATGGCATTGCCAAAATTAGGACGAGGTTTTTTTTCTGTTTTTTTTTAAACAGATCCCCCCCGTAGATTTTATCGCTTGCATGCTATTATAGCCCTTCCTGAAACCTTTTCAAAACACTATAATTTAATTCACTTTGAATCAGTTGTTTTGAAATTATCGAGATTTATTGTGTCTACTCGATATAAGCAATCCTGTCGCCTTTAACAATCGCATAAAATTTCATTTACCTCCATTGCACGCTGTGTATTGTCAGCGACAAATATCACGTGTACGCGGTATTCCGTCGCTACGGCGAAAGCATTTGTTGAGTTGCTTTAAGCAGGTGAGCTCTGCACATCTTTATTACGACTCTTTCGATCTAAATTAGATCATATAACTTTGCTAGTATATAACTTTGCTTTGTATAAATCCATCGCCTTTTATATGTACCGTATATCTTAGAAATAAGAAAAAAAATGATGAACTTTCGTGTCACATAAAATAAAAATTCTTAGAATTCTATATGTACATACATACATACATGTATGTATAGTTATACATACAAAAAAATATAGTCCTCTAAAACAAGGTTCTTCATAATATTAATTACGTCAGCTACGTCAGTTACGTTAACTTTTGCTACTGGAAAACTGCAGTAAAGAAGCTTTTTAATTTTTTATTAGTTTGTTTTAACGAACTCAGATTCTGATTTCTTGTACTTAAGGAATGATGAATTATACATCAAATGAAATAGTAGATATTCTGCCGACTCTTGGCGAAAGCAACAGGAATTACAGATGTATTTCCCCGTTGTTATGCTGGCTATAATCTAATCGTCGCCATCCGAATGCTCAATAAGTGATAAATATTGAAAAAACAGCTCGCAGAAATATATTACATCGCCAGAGATAGAGAAACAGGTTTCTAAACAATAATGATCCTAAATTTCTCACAATTTTGGGCATGATTCATTTCAATCCACATGTAAGTATTCGATAAATAGAATATAAATTAAGAATCCCTCGATCTACAATTCATCGAATTATAATCTATACAATACCATCCTTATTACACCAACTTGATACAGGAATTGAGCAAAGATGATTGCGGACTGAAAGTCCAATTTTGTAGATGGGTACTCGATGCATTGAAATAGAATCCAAATTTCTTTTGGAATGTCTGTTTCAGTGACGAAGCTACATTCTATAACAATGACAATCTCAATAGACAAAATCACAATAGTCATTACTGCTCACCAGTAAATCCTCAATGATATCGACAGATAATCAACCAGTATCGTTAGAATCTCCACGTTTGAATTGGCATATGCAATGGTCAAATTATTGGACAGTATTTTCTTGAACGTACAATTAATGATGCAATTTACTTAGATTTTCTCCAAAATCATTTACCAGGATATCTTTAGAACACTCCACTGGATGTCCGCCAAAGATTTTGGTTTCAACAGGATAATGCTCCAGTACATTACTCTTAAGAAGTTCAAATTTTCTTAGATGAGCAATATCTAAATCATTGGATAGGTCAGGGAGGACAAGTCTTGTGGGCTTCCTGAAGATCACCGAATCTAAATCCTCTTGATTATTATTTATAGGGATATGTAAAAAATACTGTGTATCAGGAAGCACCAACCACGAGACTAGATATGACGGAAAGAGTCAAAAAAGCCTGTCAAACGATAACGCCGTAAATACTTAGAGGAGTTCTACTTTAGACGCAGATTGATTTTGTGCTTGGGAAATAACGGTACACATTTTGAATATTTAATTCCGAGAGTGATACCTAATGACAATTAAGACCAAATTCCTTAATCCTCCGATCTTACTTTCATGGCCGAATCATTCCTTGAGCTTGTCTTCACTAGCTAGATCAACCAAATGACATGTTATCATATAAATCCCGATAACTTCAAAACAGCTGACCCAAAGTGAATTAAATAGTATTTTCGAAAGATCTCAAGAAGGACTATAACAATATACAATAAAATCTAAAGGACTTCTACTTAAAAAATTCAAAGTGGCTTCGTCCTGACTTTGGCAACGCCATCCAATGTCAAACGGATATGATCTTTAACTACTAACTAAAAACTAACTAAGTAAATAAATTTTTTTAGACCCTACAACTTTTGTCTGAAACATTTTTCCGTATCTTTTATAATTTTTGAGATATCTCAGTAGCAAAGTTAAAATGAAACACTCTTCTGTGTGTGTGTGTATATATATATATATATATATATATATGTAATTCCGAATAATGGCCAAACTTCGAGAGCGTGTAGGCTATCAATAAACTAAGAAAAAAAGTTTTTTAAAGATAAACTCCTTTTTACTTCATTTTGGGAAAAATCGTAAAAAAAACAAAACATAATTTTCGGAATATTATCGTCTTTAAAGTGAAATATTATTTTTGTATAATTTTTGTTTTTGCGTAAGGGAGTCCGTACTCAAAGGAACAGGGAAACAAAGGAACAGAGAACAAAAATTTCAACCAATCAGAAATCATGCACTGTGAAATACAGTTTCTAAAAGGTTGAAATTTTTATTCTTTATTCTTTTTCCTATTCCTTGATTGTGCGTAACTCCTAAAACTTTAGCGATTATGCTTCAGAGGCAGTGTGAGAGTATGTCTAGGCAGAAGAGTGCCAGCCACATCGGCGAGTCATTACATGTACCAGATCAGTGTTTGGTTGTAACACGAGCTGATTGTACAAGATGCAATGCTGTAAGAGGCCATTATTTTAAACAATATTTGCATTAAGCAAGTGACAATGTAAATAAATAAATGTGAATGAATAAGTAATAAATAAGTACAAAAATAAAAATTACGTTTTGTCTTCTTTTGTGATTTTCTCCAAAATGAAGTAAAAACGAGTATATCTTTAAAAGAGTATATCTTTTTTCTTAGTTTATCGATCCCTTATACACTCTCGAAGTTTGTCTATTTAAATTCGGAACATCCTGTATATATAAATTTTTTTACCGGGTCTAATCAATATTTTATGTTACTATATATTTATTCTTCTATTGGAACTAACGATAATAGTAACAAATGTTAACTTTGTTGTCAATATTAGGCATATGAAACACACAAAATATTGATATCAGATTAAAAATATTCAGATTAAAAATATTCTTAGTATTAATATAAATTGTTTACGTTTTAAAACCGATGTACATATAATTAACCCTTAAGAGAGGAATTTTGCAAAATCACTAGATATACCCATTGTCCTGTAAATTCGGACTTTAAAAAATAAATAAAAATTCAAATAAGAAGTGCGAGTGAATAGAGTGAAAAACTAAAGTAACAGAAATGAAAAAAACTGCGTTTGATTCGGGAAACGAGAGATTTACATGTTGTGTTACATGGTTCTCAGCAGGTTCCCGCGCAGCATCTTCTTCCTCCAGCCAGATGGACTGTGGAAATAATATTAGTACTGTTAAATCTATTCCCTGCTACCATATTCGTTACGACTACTCACTACTGATCGCGTTCGATACATCTGCCCTTGCAGGTAATCTTCAACATTTCCATAAACTGCAGCATTCATATAAAATTGATTTATTTTTAAGTCTCAATGCGCGAACACGGTAAAATATATCAGCATTCATTACAGTCGTCACGATTACTTTCCGTTTCGGTCACATGATTCCAAACGTGCAAGTTGCGTTGCAAACCCAGGGTTGCATCAGTTTGTGGAACTAAAATTGAGATGGAATTTGTCAAATCTAATTTATATAGCAAAATCTTGAAACCTATAAATACGGTTGTTACCTGTTGAGCAATTGATTATCATGATTCTTTACCTTTCATCAGTGCTTATTTACTTTTCAATACAATTTTTCGACTCGAAGCGAATTTCGCGAATTTTAATCAAAGGTCGATCGTTTTTGTGTGCATGATGCATGTTACGTAAAAAATATCATTGTTACGGATGAATTACCTGAAGGCTGGTGTAACTAGAATAACTCCTCTTGCCACCGAAACGGAAACCACGTTCATGTTCGTGCACATGCCTGTGTCTGAGTAGAAGTGCTCTCATCACGACCGGTCTGTCTTGGGCTAGGATAAGCTCTTCGATGACCATTTGCTCGACTATTCTATAAGCCAGCCCAGGCAGATCTTTTTCCTCCAGATCAAGAAGAATCACACCAGTTTCTAGACATCGGCGAAGATTCAGTAGTGAATGAAAACTAAGAGAAGCCACGTGAGGTCTGCCCCATCTGTCAGCACCCTCCTCAACGTCTTCCTCATATTTGATCCATCTGGCGGTCTCTCGCCATTCACGCTCTTCGCCCAAGCCATGTAGTTCGTCCAATTGAACGAATACCTCGTGCGGCGAATGATCGTACATCTTCTTGAAGGTGTCATAGAAAATGCCGCCCTCCTTTCGTCGGGCGATCTGCACCGTCGAGTAAGCGGCTTTATGCCGGCGCATGCCACGTGGATCATCACTACGATGCGACTCCAAATCATCAATGTCGAGTTCTTGCAAAGTGCTTGCTTCTTCTGGCTGGACGCTGACACGTCGAGCCAGCAGATTCGAACTATCTGGAAGACCGGCTCCTGATCGTTTTCGCCATTGCGGATCCTCCTGTAGAGAGTATTTGCGAGATTTGTGATGGTGACGTCTGGAAGAGTAGTCAATAATAGTGATTAGTTAAGTCTTTTATAAGATTTCATTCATAAGTAAAGAATCAGAATAATAAGTAAGTAACATTATAGATGAATAAATCTAACACAATAAAAATGGAGGAAAAATGCTAGTAAGCGCCAACACCAAGTGATAGCGTGTAAATTATTTCTCTAATAAAATATGTGGATAAAGTGAATAATTTTTTAAATAAGCAATTATATATGTTTTCTTTACACTAATTGATTCATCTATTCATATTGATTATTCTGTTCATAAAAGTATTAAGATACGATTATCAAAAAATTAATACTTTACGAGATATTTAATATTTTATGTCAATATGTGCCGAAATAAAGTATAAAATATCTCCTGAACTATTGATTTTTCGATATCATTATTATTAATACTTTTATATACAGAATGGTTAGAGGAATCATATTATGTAAAAAATCATATAATTTCATTTAAAAAACTAATTTTGAAATTTTTTTAACGCTTACACTTACAAAAAAAATTTAGGCACTATATAATGGCTCCCTTAAAGTCATACAACTTTTGTATATAACAGTTTTTTATTTAGAGTTTATCAACTTAGAGTTTACCAAGTTTTTCGAGATGTGCAACAAATTATATGCCTCACCTTGTGTATAAATTCAAGAAATATGTATTCATACAATATGTATTTAAGCATTATTTAAGATCCGCTTAAGACCGAATATAGGATTTCTCTCATTTAATTAGATTAAGTTCTATTTATCTCTATCTTTATTTTGTTTTTTTTTTTGTGATTCTGTTAGCTTAATATCAAATTAGCAGAGCCACGTTTTTTTCTCAAAATGAGTACTAAAAAATTAAATAAGTTTGAGTCTGCTCATTTGGTGCTGCTGGCTTATTAGAGATGCTATCGAACGTGAATGTAAGTTGAAATTTGTCCATCTTGTAGAGACAATCATTAAACGTACCTATTATCGTGTTAACATTCAAAATGTTAACATTAAACGTACACTTACTTCAGACTCTGATTGACCCTAATTTTATTATTGTAATAACTATTTCAATCTCGTGTTACACTTAAAGATATAGTAAGATTTTTATTTAGAAAATGTAAGAACAATTAAGGAATCTAATCTAAATAGAGCCAAAACTTAATTAAATCACTGATATACATATATATTTTTTTCATACCCGCCCCATAAATCTTGAATTAACTATCTGACTTGGTACCGCTCTGTACTGGAATTGTCACGCTGCAAATCTAGCTCATCGCTTAGGATGGTACGAAATAAAGGTCGGTCGTTCCGTGCTCATAATTGCGCGGTTCATAGCGTAAATATGAGTCCACAGAAATTGTAACACACGAAATGCGACCACCAGATTTAAACTTTTATCTTAAAATATATTGAGGATAATTCAGATTTGTGCACATAATATATGCAGACACGATATTTAAATTACAGTTTGATTTGTTTTCTCATCAAGATATTGTTTTACTAATCAGAAAAAAGTACATTCTTGTTTAATTTGTAATTAACACTAAATGTGTTAATTAAATTGTGTGATTTTTTTCCTCTCTTACCTTCATTTCCTGAACTCTTTACAAGTCATCATCTAAAGTCAACTTACTTATGTTCGTGCTTCTGGTGCCGTCGGCGATTCCGGTCTTCCTCATGGCCACTCAGAGTGGTACCTGTTGGCACTTCCAATGTTTGCGTACTCGATGCCTCTTCTTCCTTGATTTTTTCAAATTGTACTCTCGGGCTGCCGATGATTGGACTGAAACTGGAAGCCGCCCTCTCCGAGATCGGTGCCTCGTTTTCGTTATTGCTTACATTTTTGGCTTTCGCTGTTTCTTCATCAACTTCGGCTTCGGTTTCTGCTGTCATGATCGATCGAAATTCACGGTTCATCTCATCGATTTTCTCGTTTTCCGCTTGAATATTGCCACGATCCTCTTCGATAGACATTTCTGCCGTTGACCCTTCACTAAGAATAATCGAAGAAACACACCAAGTCTATTTTTTCAGCAAAAATGTTCTCACGTGTATAGAATTAAATTTCATTCGTTTGAAAGTTCTCTTATAGAGTTATGAGAAAATAAAAAAAAATTTTATTAGTTTCAAAGTTTGTCAATATTAACTTAATCATGCTTCTTATTAATGTAATATTCTTATTAATTCTAAGTAATGTAATTCTTATTAATGAAATCGTTTGTGGCATTTGATTATATAGAAAAGATTATATAGAGTAAATAAAAGTACAGAATTATATAGAGTAAATAAAAGTACAGAATATGGAATAGACTGCTAATATGGAATAGTGAATTATTTTCTGAACAAAGCGTTGCAATAATCTAGCGATAAATCACTAAAAGTTGTTGCAATTGCTATCAAACATGGCATAACAAGTAATGGACTCAATCTGACAAAATGTCATCACGATAAACATTTATTTACTTTTGTTACGTTAGAGATGTTAGAGATTCGGCTTTTCTAAAAAGTATTTTCACAAACTGAAGATAAGTTTGTTAATGTTTATATTACATATATGCTTTTTAATAATGTTGTACGAAAAATATTATGCAGATAAATTGCAATTTCTAACTTGTTTATTGCTACGGAAAGACTTTGTCATATGACGACATGCAGATAATATGGAATATATAAAGGAATATGAAATAGATTTTCATATCATTGAAATAGAGATTTCCATATCAACAAGTTATTCGTAATCAGATTACGAAACAGTTACATTATAGAATGTATTCCATACATTACTAGTTTATTTGCGATTATAGATTACATTCCATATTACCAACTTATTTGCGAGTCCGTTTATGTCCAATGATGCTATTTTATGTTATTGTACAATAAAAATGTGAACTATTTTTAAGTATTTTTCTTGATCGGTTTATATAAATAAACAAATTTGGACTTCATTTATTATATTATTTATTACTGTTACCTAAATTTCACCGCTATTTCATATTGCATTCCGTTTTTTACACCTCCTATTTTCACATTTTTTATTTTTTTGTTAATAGTGACGTTGGACTTAAATTTTGGCAACTTTCATTTATTGAATATTATAGTTAACATATTCCTCAAGAATTCTGTATAAATTTAAAGTCTTTTTATTATACCGAAGCAATGTTAATTTAAAAAACGCTATTCCATATTCTCTACTTTTATCCTAGTTGTTTGATTATTCTTATAAGATTTCAAATCGACAAGAACTTTTGTTGAAAATAGATTTTGCCAAATGTCTACTCTTTTCGAGAACTTACGAAGAAAGATGTCGTCGCATAGATCTGGAATGCAGACTCTTCAAGGGCATGTGCGGATGTGGATAGCTTTTTTTACGATATTCTAAAAAGTGTCATTTTTATTATTTTCAATTTCCCAAAAAACGACGTCAAAACCAAATTAAAAAATGTTGAAGAACGATAGTACGAGCGACTTACGATTGAAATCGCGATCGCCACCATATCGTAGAGGTGGTCCACGATCGCGATCTCGATCAGATCCAGTCGATTCCGAAGGTGATCCAAGACGGGCTACATCGAACTTTTCCCCGGCGTCCATCGCAAAGACCTTCTCCATCTCCTCGTCGAGTTCCGGTCCTGTTTCCGCAGCATGTCCGTCAATCTAATATGGCAAATAAAGTTGTAAATTAATATTTGCCAAGGAAAAAATTTGCGAATTTGTTTTAGGGAAAGGATAATATGTAAACGTAGTTTTCTATTAAAGATTGTTAAAATTACAAATTACCCATTGTGTGTATAGTGTTTAGTTACATTTTTTGTAACTAACAAAATTTTTATACCTTTCTTTATTTTTTCGACTAATTTTCATTTGTATTGCGAAAATATTTTGCGAATTATTAAAAAAAGATTTTAATCCTAGAACATACTAGCCCTTAAAAAACATGCTTTTTGGCATCTTTGTATTAAATGTTGTCTGTAATATTATATATTATGTTGTCTGTAATGTTATAACATTTTCCTACTAAATTATAAGTTTTTTAACACAACAGCAATAATAAAATGCAGTGTTTAAAATGTAAATGCAATATATCTTCAATTTACAGCCATTCATGCATATTAAAAAAAAATATCATTTTCAGGTTATTAAATAACTAAATTTTTTGGTTGCCAATACTTGAACTATTTTTTCTTTTGTAGTTTGGAATGTCAATTGATATTGAAATATATTTTTCCTTTAAACATTTTTATTTCAGAGTTTACGAATTTTTGTACGAAAAAGTGTATTTTTTTCATTTTATTAATTATATTTAGTTATAACAATTTATATGCAATTTGTTATACATATACAACTTTACAAAATATTTTGTTATAAATATACAACTTTACAAATACTTTCTAAAGATGTCAAAATATATGTAAAAATCGCTTAATAATTCTTGTATACTTAAAAGTGATGAAAATTAGTTCAGAAGATAAAAGATCCAAGGTGTGTAGTAAAGGTGCGAAAACTAAGATATGTACTAAGGTGAAGAACTCTCTCCATATCCTTTTCTGCTTACATAATAACTTTCCATGCGAAGCGAGATCTGGACAGGGAGGAGATAAGGTGAATTTGGCTTTGCGTGGAAAGTCGTGCATCCCTTGGCAAGAGGGAGGAGGATTTGCTTTGTCTAGAAAATTATTGTACCCCACAAATAAAGAGTGTAAGATAATATTTAATACTGTATATACTAGAAATAAGACAATATTTCTTAAATTTTTTTATTAATAATTTTTTAACGAACATGAGCCCTGTTGGAGATTACTCAGGGTCATAACTTTGACAACATATGTCAAGGTTAAGGTCATCGGCTCTCGCTATCTGAATATTTACTATATCAATTTTCCTGTAAGTTTAAAAACATTCTTTTTGATGTAATTAATTTGATATATTTAAGGTCTTAATCCCATGAGACCACCCAACGTATCAACTGGTTATAGAATTGTTGGAGATTAACCACTGGAATTTACATAACGTAATATGCGATAAAATATTAGGTGTTGGAATTAATTCGTAGCGTTTTACAAGTGATGGGAAGTACTTTCATTAATGTATTTTTTAATGCTCATGTGAAATAAATAATATTCTTTCATTAAAAAACGCTACGAATTAATTCCAACACCTAATATGATTTATGTTTATTCCACGCTGAAGATGACTAAAAATTAAAAAATTAGAAACGTATACTGTATGAATCGTGTTATGTAAAATGTAATTGTTAGACGTATAAAGTCTGTTAATTATTTAAGCGCAACATGCGCTGATTCCTAATTGTCCATTTGAACTTTTTATTTAAATATTTTGTGTAGTACATATAAAAAAAGGCAAATAATATTTACTATTTACATTAACATTTATTTAAAATAAGATTCTACTTATTTGACATTTCGATATTCATAATTGAACAAAATATTTCCATTTTCTATTTTCTATTTTCTATTTAATATTTAATCTAATTTAATTTAATTTAGTTTATTGCAAAGAATATATGAAAGAGACTACTATATGAAAAAGACTACATGTTAACAGAGTAATAGCCATAAAGTATGATACAATAGATTATAGATTAACATAAACATAAATAGGCAATAATAGCTTGCAAATGGTTAGGCGTCAGCAGAATTGCGGTTACAAAGCTTACCAGTAACAAAATCAAAATAAGACAACAATAAGAGGTAAACTAATAGCTGAAATCATACACACACATACACACATACACATGCACATAAAACTCACTCACATACACACACGCACATACACCTGAAAACACACCAATTCCATCAGTCTCGTTTAAATACTGAGTGACGCAATGAACGCGAGGCAGCGGAACGAAAGGAGGATAGAGAAAGAGAGGTTTTTATTGAATCAGGAAGGGAATTAAAATATTTGACAGAGGTGTAGGAAAAAGCGGCACGGAACTTAGTGACCGATATATGGGGAAGGATAAGTAATCTTGGTATCTGGTGACAAGAGGGCTAAAAGAGGAATGATGCTCAGAGTTCAACTGAAGGAGACGTCGCAGATATAGAAGAGTATTGGAGCAAAGGAGAGAAAATATAAGACACGGGTGAAGAATAAAACGTTGCCAAATCTTAAGCCAGCCAGATTTCTGGTAATACGGAGATATATGGTATTTATGAACAATAGGAGAAGCGGAGACAAGAATTTTCGCTGTACACGATTTAGCAGATGTTGATTAAGAGCAGGAACGTAGACGACATCAGCGTAATCAAATAGAGTAATAACAAGTAATTTCTTAACAATACAAAAAAGCAAATAATAAAAATAAAATAAAAAGCAGTATAGACAGATTTTATAGGTATACAGAGTATTTCAGACTTCGAGTAATATCCTTTACTTCAATTTAACCAAATAAATTTCTTGTAGTCTCTTAATCTATAAATCAATTCAATTATATTACAGAAATAACTGATAGAATATTGACAAAGAGAGAGATATATTTATGGAAATTGCTTCAATTTTCTTCGCAAGATTTCCGCTGTGAAGTCTCCGAGAGAATTATAAAAGATTCTTTTTAGGGCATTCTAGATACGCAAAAGCTAGATAAGTACATTAATCACCCTAGGCTACTCTACCCATGCAATTTAGGAAGAATCGATACAGACATTGATTTTCACAGAAAGCAGTTCACCTTCATAAGCCAACTACTTTATTAGAGTTCTGAGAAGAAAATGTATTATCGAGCTGTTTTAGAAGATTAAGATAATTACAACTGCTGACACAATAACGTTTAAATTATTATGCAGTATGCACTTTGATTCACCCTTTATGCCTTTGTCCATACAATAGCGAGCAAAAAACTTATTGACTTGTTCACATAACTATTGTCCACATTGTTCAACGGCATAATAGATTTTATATATTTTTATGATACGTTATAGTATTATACGTTATGGTATTGGAAATATTTTGAAGTAATTATATTATAATATAAAGTTGGAAATATTAATATCTATAATGGGAAAAATTATATTTTCGAATATCAATTTGATAATTGATATTTTCGAAACTGATAATTGATTTTCGGATTTCACTTTGTAATGGATAAAATTGAACAATAATACTGTAACTATCAAAATGACTGATTAAGAGAAAGAAAAAGATTAAAAGAATTATAATAATTTTGAACGTGTCTATCTTTTTTTTTGCAAAAATCGTGTATTTATACAATATTTTTTTCTACTTTTAAGAAAAAGATTACATCGTATGTAATCAATTACTATGCATCAGCATAATTTTATTATCAATTTTATTTAAAATTGAAAATCTGCTTTGAAACTTATTTCCATTGATATCTTGCTAGTTAAGTTGAAATCTGCTTAATTCATGATTTGCAATTTTGATAATAAATAATTAGTGTAAGTAAAAATGACAAAATAAAATAATGTTAAAGACTATAGCTTTTGTGAATTATGGGTATAGTATTTCGTGTTTTTTAAATAAATAAATAATGTTTAAATAAGACAATAAATAAAGATATATATAATTTGTATTTTGTTCATAACACACACACACACACACACACACACACACACACACACACACACACACACACAAAACGTTACAAAAATATTTTATATTGAGAAAAATTTGAATATTTCTTCTTTTTCTTTCAAAAAATATTTGAAAAGTATCTTGGAATCTCTTGGATTTTAGCGAACTCTATTAAAATTTATCAATTCTGAGTTTTAAAGCTCTCAATTTTCAACAAGGAAAATTTGAATCTTATAAATCTAAAAAATTATGAAATCTGGATTGCTGCCTTCGTTAACCTTTCCAGAGTCCACACAAATAGCACCACAGAAATTTTGAACTTTTTTACAATATACTACTAAACAATGTTCACAAAAAGCGCAAAGAGATATTTCGAGAACAGCTGGAGAAGAACAGCAAGAAGAATATGGAGATTTCGCCTTCTTGAAAAAATGTTTTTAATTGTACGAATTGTGAGAGCAAAGAAAATTGAGATGACCAGCTTTTCGAGGGATGGAATAGTGCGTTCACCTGGTGCGTCGTTCGCAGCGGTGGAGCCAGGGGAGATCCTTCCTTCGCGCTCGCTGCGGGATCGACTTTCCGGAGGAACCGGCGGTGGCCTCGGGCATGGCATCTCGGGCCGAGTGACAACCCGGCTGATCGGTGTTGAGAGCTGGAGGAATCCGAACTGAGAATGGAGGGTGCTCTCTGCAGGACCGTGAAGAGAGAAAGAGGAGAAAGCTGGTGGGGAACGTACAGTTCATGGAAGGGATGGATCGATATCATCCCCATATGCTCAATCGAGGAGTAATTCCTCCATTCTTCTTTTTTCTCCCTTTCTCCTCTATTCTTTCTTCGTTCATTTGATTTATCAGAATTTTCAATTCAAGGTATATTTTCCATTTCCCTTCGAGCAATCTAATTAACGGTCATATACTTAAGTATACCGTTGCTGTTTTGAATTAAATTTTGGATGTACAAAAAGATTACCATCGATTTTACAACTTTTCCAATACTTTGTTAATAACGATTAATTTCTACAGTTCATAATTTAATTAATAGTAGAAGAATTGCAGCTAACATGAATACTCCATCTGACACGTTTTGCAATGGTACATCAAAAAGCT